TTTTTTTTTTTTTTTTTTTTTTTTTTTTTTTTTTTTTTTTTTTTTTGCACAGCTTGTGTTGGGTGAGAAATATATCTCTATCATCTGATAAACTTCCACATATTGAAAAACTGTACCTATGCTTTTTCTAACATTATCTGAAAGCCTTCTGAAAAGAATGATTATAGGTATCCACTAGACGTAGAGGTGTTAGAGTTCAGACACTGTAGCAACTCTAAACGTTCAGCAGTGCTGCACCCAAATTTGATGTTCTTGAACCTTGATAGCATGAACATTGCAGTCCTCCCAGGACAGGTCTCCAGCACTATCTTTAAGGGGCAGTAAGTGGTAAAGTAGAACCTGCCTTATTTACAGTTTCTTCCCTTATGTCAAGGGTAAGAGCTATTCACACCCACAGCTTCTCTTCCTTCCCCTGTTGACTCATTGCATCTTTTATTGATTTCCTGTGGAGAAATAAAAATTAGTGCAGGAAAAGTCAAACATGGTAGTTAGAACTATGCTTGGGATCTGACTCTCCAAGTTCCCTTTAAGGATTCCTGCTCCAACTGGAAATAAATTGCAAGTGAGATGAAAGAATAAAGGATAAGATGTTCTAGCAAAACAAGATCTGAGAAGAATTGGTTAAACAAACATATCTTGAAGGTACATGGCAGGAAATGCTAGCTTAGCACCTGCACGTGAATCTTGTTTGCTGGACAGAACAAAGAGTGATAGACTTTACAGGACACAAATATAGCTCTAGATGAGCAAAACAACAAACTCTGAAACCAGATTACAAAGTGTGTGTAAACGAAGAAACAAAGAGGGTACCTAATGGAGAGGGATGAGTGTGTGATAGGCAAACCAAGAAGAAAGTGAACCCTGAGTTCTCTATTTGTACACTAGTTAGTCTTCTGCTTTGTTCTAGTATTTGTGCTTGGCTTAATAACCCATGACATACGCTTTCATATTCTTTCTAGTTTTTCCACTTCAGGAGGCTTTAAGACAGCTCTAGCTCTAGACAGCTAGAATTAGGTGTAATTCCTGGCAGTCTTGCTCATGGCTGTGCTCCAGGAAAAGTTAGCATGCATGTGCCCAGTGCAGCATACAGTTTCTGATTCACTAATACTGTTACTGCTTATAGACATATTTTTTTCTTGGGATGTCTGGAAGTATTGGGACATTAATTTGAATGTAGCTCAGTGGCAAACCTAAAATATTTGTAAAGTTGCACAATGGATATTAAGTCTAATATTTTTTGGAAGAAATGCAGTTTGTGTGATCTAGCCATTTCAATCTGCACAACTCATAGATTACTGCCAAAAAGCACTGTGGGAGTAAATGAATACTTTAACTTGCCAAGGTATTTCTGACTTTATGTGTGAGGGCATTTACAGGAAGAGCTCTGGAATACATGGGAAGAGGGAATCTGATGTATTAAGGTTTTAAAAATTGTGGAGTAACAACCTGCAAATGCAAACCGTATTCAAAATCAGCCTGGCCTACAGAATAGGGTGCAGTGCTGTGGACAGGGGTGCTGAGAAATCTTCCAGCCTCTGCCACCAGCCTGCTAGGTGAACTTAGGTAAGTCCTATGATTTTTGCTCCTCCATCTGCATCCTGAGAATAGTGAGACACTCCTGAAAAGTGCATTTGGAAACACATCTTAAAATGTTGCTCCAAAAGTAGTACTTGGTGATACATAAGAGTAAGATATGGGAGCTCTGGGAGACACAAAGAAAGGCAGGCTATGTCTGCACGGCAGAATAGAGACCACTGCAGAAGGCAATACATACAAAGACTTCACTGATAAGTCCAAATGTTACAGTGCTGCACTGTTCTGTAAGGATGGACCAAGCACACCGCTTCATGGATATCTGTGTGGAACAAAGACGTGGGCTTGCAGCCTGGAAGGCCAACTGTGTTCTGGGCCGCATTAAGAAAGGGGTGGCCAGCAGGTAGAGGGAGGTGATTGTCCCCCTCTATTCAGCTCTTGTGAGGCAACATCTGCAGTACTTCGACCAGGCCTGGAGCTCCCAGCACAAGAAAAACGTGGCGTTCTTGTAACGGGTCCAGAGGAGGGCCATGAAGATGATGAGAGGGCTGGAGCACCTCTCCTATGAGGAAAGGTTGAGGGAACTGGGCTTGTTTAGCTTGGAAAAGAGAAGGCTTCAGGGAGACCTCACTGTGACCTTCCAGTACTTGAAGCATATAAACAGGAGGGGGTACAACTGTTTATGAGGGTGGATAGTGATAGGACAAGGAGGAATGGTTTTCAACTGAGGGAGGGGAGGTTTAGGTTAGATATTAAGAGGAAGTTTTTCACACAGAGTCTGGTGACACACTGGAACAGGTTGCTCAGGGAGGTTGTGGATGCCCCATCCCTGGAGGCATTCAAGGCCAGGCTGGATGTGGCTCTGGGCAGCCTGGTCTGGTGGTTGTCAGCACTGAACACAGCAGGAGGGTTAAAACTAGATGATCACTGTAATCCTTTTCAAACCAGGCCTCTCTATGATTCTATGATTCTACGTTGACTTAGCCACAGCACTGTAGTCAAACGAGCAATCTTCATCTTTGTACTAGAATATCTGCTATGACCTTCTAGAGACATCCTCTGTTGTATACATTATTGGTTGCTGTTTTGTAAGATGCATAGTCTGCAAAAAGATACATCCACTTTTTTTCCACCAGCTGTTCCCCAGGTCACAGATAAGGGCATTCCACAAGACCAGAACATGACTTTAAGCATTGCTAAGTATGTGGACCCCTATGGAAGGAGTCCTGGCAGGCTCACTGCTTCAGTGCTCTGCAGAATAAAGGAAGGAGAGAAGGCAATATGGCAGTATGCTGGAAGAGGTTTTCACTAGGTCCTTCCTGGCACGTCATCACCAAACAAAAGAAAAGTGTCTTTAGTTTTAGTAATAACATTGAGTTTATATTCTGCTCTTGCACTACATGTACATACAGGCTTTGTTGTTACACGGGCTTTAGAATCAAGGAATTACTGGATGAGTTGTTCTGGGATACTGTTCTTAGGGACATAGGAATGGAGAAGAGATGGCAACTATTTAAGGACATTTTTCTGAGAGGATAAGAGTTCTCCATCCCCCAGCATGGGAAATCAAGCAGAGGAGGCAAAAAAACAGCAAGGTTGAACATGGATTTGATGGTCAGGCTAAAGAAAAAAAATGCACAGGCAGTGAAAGCAGGGATAGGTGTCCTGTGAAAAATAAAGGAATGCTGCCTGGATATGCACAGATGGGGTCAGAAAAGCCAAAATACAGATATAACTGAATTTGGCAAGGGTTGTGAAAAATATCAAGAAGAGTTTTTTTAGATACAGTGTTCACCAAAAACAGGGAAAGGAGCATGTACCCCCCTCTGATAAATGAGAAGGTAGATCTTCAAAAGACATGGAGAAGACTGAGGCACTCAACAATTTATTTGCCTCAGTCTTCACTGGCAATTAGGCTTCTTATGTCTCTCGTGTTCCTGAACCTCTAGATAGCATCTGGAGGAGCAAAACCCTTCCCACTCTAAGAGCAGAACAAGTCCAAGACCTCATGAGGCCGACTGTGTACATGGCTATGTAGTCCTGAAGGAAGTGTCTGATGTGTTTGCCAAATAACTCTCCGTTGTATCTGTAAAGTTGTGGCTGTCAGACAAAGTCAATGGAGACTGGAATAAAGGTAACATCACTTTCATTTTTAAAGAAGGGGAGAAAGGAAAACCTTAGGAACTAAAGACCTGTGAGCCTCACATCTGTGCTTATGACACCAAGCTAAGTAGTACATGTGACACCATAGAAGAAGGGATGCCAACCAAAGGGACCTGGACAGGCTTCAAGAATAAGCCCATGTGCACCTAATTACGTTCCACAAGGCCAAGGCAAGGGGTTGCACTTGGGTCAAGGCAATCCCAGATGTGTACATAAAGGGAGAAGAACTCATTGAGAGTAGCCCTGTGCAGAAGGACTTGGGGGTCTAGGTGAAAAGCAGGGTATGAGCCAGCATTGTGCCTTCAGAGGTGCTCAGGGAGGTGGCCAACAGAGCAAGTGAGGTGATGAGGTACATGGCTGGAGTGCTGTGTCCAGGCTTGGAATTTCAGCACAAGCAGGGTGAGGAGCTATTGGAATGGGTTCAGAGGGTGGTCATGAAGATGATTAAAGAACTGCATTACCTTTCTATGAAGAAAGGCTGAGAGAGTGGGCTTGTTTAGCTTTGAAAAGAAGCAACTGAAAGTTCCTTTCCAGTACTTGAAGGGAACTTACAACCAGGAAGGGGATTGGCTTTCTACATGGTCTAAAAGTGATAAGACAATGCAGGATGTCTCTAAACTAAAAGAGGAGAAAATTAGGTTTCTTGTTAGGAAGAAATTTTTTACTCAGATGGTGGTGAGGCACTGGAACAGGATGCCCAGAGAAGTTGTGGATGCCACATCCCTGGAAGCATTCAAGTCCAGGTTGATTGGGGCCTTTAGCAGTCTAATCTGAGGGTGACAACTAGTCCATAGCAGTGGGTTGGAACTGGATGATATTTGAGGTCCCTTCCTTTATAATTCAGCCTCAGGGAAACAGGGAGGTCCACTCTGAAATCACAACAGTAGTTCAAGTCACATAGGAAAATTTGCACCACAAATCAGTTGAATACCTGGGTTGAATTGCACATCCTGTTGCACAAAGTATTCATTCACGTTGCTATTTTGTCTACTTATGCCTTTGCATGCAGTGGAGGACATACTGTCACTGTCACACTCACAGATAGGGTGTCATCTGCAGTTGTTAGCAGATCTACTCTGTGCGTGACTTGAACTGATAGCTGTGCTACACCTATAACATCACTAACCAAAATTACTCAGCCATGACCATTAACAGCAGAGAATGTGTCTATGTGCCTTTGGGAGTGCATAGAGAAGAACCTGAGCACATTGATTTGGCTATCTCAGCAGTGCCACTTAAGTTCCAGATAGTCAAACTCCAATTGCTGGGCAGAGCAATTCCAGAAAAAAAAACACCCTTTTCTGAGACAGTGGATGCTAAAAGGAGGTCTGAACTGGCACATGTATTCATGCTTTGCCAAAGAGTCTTACAACTCAAGGCCAAAAAATCATTTCTCCCTGGAACCTCTGATATGTGGCTGACAAGCACACAGTGAGTCCCACTGTTTCATGGGCCTCAGCAGAGTTTGTATATGGTTAGTTAAGTATATTAGTCAAGTGGCTAGAAGGAAAGAAGAGAGTGATAAAAGACTCCATTTGGAAAAGTCGTAAGACTAAAGTGACTGAATAAGTGACTGAATCCTTAAACAAGCTTGGTCAAATGGACACACAGATTCAGAATGCAGCTGTGATCCAAGTGTGTGAAGCATGGAGATATTTGGGCTACATTTTCTCCCAGCAGCAAGAAACTAAAAATACTATGGCTACTGAATGATTAGATGTGAAAAGATGACAAGGTCATAAGTAGACTGAACAAGGCTCAGCTTCTGGAGCATTTATAACTGCAAAGCTGATCAGTACACAATAGTGTGTAGTCACAAGCAAAAGTTGTGTTTGGATTATGGTGATATTAATATTATAAAGCTGCAGTTGTGTCTCTATCTAAGCAAATCAGGATAATTCTGTGTAGCTGAGTTTACAAAAAATATCAGTAATTTATTTTAAGACACATGGCATACAGTGAAAGAAGTTTACTTTTTAAAACATAACTTTAGTCCTCTAGCTCCTCTGCACTATGTTGTTATGTAATATACTAGCAAGGGATCAAAAGGAAATTGCAGACAAACACTTCTCAGAGGGGCACAGCAAAAGGACAAGAAGCAATGGCACAAACAGCAGCCTGAGAGATTGTGACTGGATAGAAGGGAAAAAATCTTCCTCATAAGAGCAATGCAGTGCTGGGAAAGTTGCCTGGACAGGCCATGGGAGAGGAGGGGAGAGGACAGATAACATTACCTTACAATGGAAACACTGTTTTTTTTCCACTAGCTCAATAAGACTCACACTTTCTCCGAGTATAGGTGATTGGATCTGGATGTTTTGGAATCATTTAGAAGAGAGTCATGGGATAAACGTCTCCTTAGGTATGTATGAAACAATGGAAAAGGGAGTCTGAGAGCTCAAGAAACCTCTCTGAACTTTTACTTCTACATTACTGACCGAATAAACAAAAAAAGGAAAAATACATTTTATATATGGTCCATTTCAGAGCGCATGTATCGTGCTGTAAATGATGCTAAGAACTTTAGGGACAGGCAAAGGAAACTGATCACGTTTAGACCGGTCATGCTTTTGGTATGCAGGTTGCTATGTAGGTTGCTATGAAACAAACCTTATCAGTATCCACTTAACACTATCCATATCTACATACTGATCAACAACAATTTAGTTATGTTGTATATAAACTTTACCTGAACAGTACTTCTGAGTAATTTGTTCCATGACTATTAAAGATTCGTTTTTCTTTCCTAAATACTTTTGTTTCTGCACTTAACATAGTTACTTAACACAGCACTGTCAAGAGTAGGAAGGGGAAAGGTCAGTAATATAAGATCAGAAAAACTAAACTTTTTGTTAATTTTAATTTATTGGGTTATAATGATCCCATTGAATATATCAGGAAACAGGAATATGCTATTTAACAGAATAGAAACATCATTTTCCATCAACACATTTAGGTTTGTAGAGCCTATCTGTGTAGAATTCTAAAGGAATTTTCTACGTGGCAATAAAGCACAAAACCAATAGCGTAGCTCTTAAAAGGAAATTTCAGATCTTTGTATGCACAGGCTTTGTGTCTTTATGTTATGAGAAGTATCTTTAGATTTTAGAAGGGCCTTAAATTCCAAATCAAGTCTGTACTTTTTCTTTTCAAATTAGAAGACAGAAACACTCATTGCATTCTGCAGCCAACGTGGGACTCATGAACAAGAAGTTAAAAGCAACTCAAATTTTCTGTCTGTGAAGTTACTGGGTGAAGCAGGGAACAACTCAAATCACTTATGAGCTGACACCATTAATATAACTTAAATTGAGTTACTAGACAATTGTAGTATTTAGTGGATGGAGAAGGGTTTAGAAATTGAGTTGACTTTTAAAAGCTCTAACTGTGGTTGTGATTGCATTAGCCCCAAAACATCTGTGTATCTTGTTTATATTTCTTTTTATGTGAATAAGTCATGTAGGATCATTAAATGAAGTAACCTCCTTCCTTATATCTATTTCTCAGCCTTCCTCAGAGCCATGACACAGCATATGTAAACTTTTGAAGGCAGCTAAAGCAACTGTCTGTATTAAAACAACAGTTTCCATAATTCACAGGAATTTACTCATCAGTGGCAAGCAATCATTTATGCAGATGTAGCTATGGTACCCAGAGAAAGACCTCATGTACCTTCTCAGACATCAGCCCAGGTAAAAAGCATAATCAGCTCTTGGATGCATACTGTTTTCTCTGTCTCTCTTTCACTCTCTCTTCTTTTTTTGAATTGTCACTTGATACTAAAAGAATGCTATAAAACACTGCATGCAGAAACTATGGGAAGGATCAGAAGTTGGAAACAGTGGAAGAGTGCCTCGTGAGATTCAAATCAGCAAAGTTGCTTTTAGTTCAGTATTGCTATAGAACTATGTCTTGATTCTGGCCCATTCTGTAAGTAACAGAATGAGAAACAGAAAGTGCTGATTTTTAAAGGATGAGGTTTTTTTCTTTTTGAATACATATAAAGATGCACACTGTGTCTGAAACTGCTAGGATCTGCTCCATCAAATCAACCTAGTCCAAAAATTAGATGCATTTTATGATATCTTCATGGAAAAAAAGCACTAGACTAACTTAATAAGAAAACTAGTGGCATTGAAATTGCAGTCACTGTCACTGAAGGAGACTGAATTACTCCTAAAACCTTACTGCTCTTCCTCTTTGATTTTCCAGTAATGATTTTCCCATATTATCAATTCATGATCATTTCCTACATTTGTAACAAAAGACCATTGGATTAAGTCGGTGTCCAGGTAAATAAAATTACTTAAACCATAAAGAGAAATACATTTTCCACTACTTGGAAAAAATGAAATTCCTTCAGTACAGCATTTTGTCAAAATTCTGTATCACTGCAAATATTACAGTGTCCCAGTAAAGGCAAATTGAAAATGCATAGCAGTCAGAATAAGATGATATTTTCATGCTTCCAGTATTCATTGGTAATTAGTTTATTTAACATCATATAACGAACAACTTTAGAACACATTCAGCTTACACTGATGATTAATAATGCTGATGATGCTCTGAATGCATACAAACAAATGATAACTATTTTTATATTTTTGCAAAAGTGTTATGTCAGGAATATATATGAGTTTACTTGAATTAGATATCCAAAGGACAAATCTACCTTACATAGTCTATTCCTGCATTCACAGAGGTTGTTTGTACTAGTGTAACCTATTCACACAAAGCACAGAGCATTCTCTCAGGATTTTACTCAGTTTCTAGGATGGTATCATTTATTTGCAAGGGGAGCCTGACAGCAAATCTTGATTTGAAGGCATCCAGAATCATCCCTTGATCATGCTCTCTGAAGGAAACCTTACATTCCAATTTGCAAGTTTTAATTTCCAATGAATATTCTCAATAATGAATTCAATTATTTCTTCCACGAATTTATGAAAACAGATTCATAACTCACAGAAATGCCTCCTGAAAATAGGAGGCATTACTTTCAGAGCAGTCCTTGTGCATCAGCAGCTATGAAGTACACCAAGAAGTGGTACCTCAGGTCTATTGTACATATCAAGCAGTGAATCTTGTATTCTTGCAAATGTTCTTTTCATTACTGGAGTGCATAATTTCTGCTGTGCAGGTTTTATGTCCCTCAACAATTCTGAGGGGCACAAGTGAACCTTTGAATTATTCCTGCCCATACAAAGATGCTCAACTTACTTCTGTCTTCCTAAAAAATCCATTGAAGTGTATTGCAGCCCCTTTTATACACACATTCACCCAAATTAAAAACATAATTTTTTTTTTGGCAGATTGCATCCCATTTATTCATGTATTTTCAGACTCCAGGTCAACTTCTCTGTGTGGAACTTATTATCTACTTACAGCAGAAGGTGTAGAAAAAGATCTCCAAATGGAGAGGTGAATTACCAAACCTTAGAAAGGTGAATCTCCTAGAAAAAAAAAACACATCCTTGCTTCTTCTCTGCTGGATACTTGGTACTTTTTCTTATAATCAGACTTAATGAGGCCTTGTACAAATAGAAAATGGATACAGTGTAATCTGTATACTTTATTGTAACAAAGAAAACCAAACCAACACTTCCACAACAATTTTGAGTCTTGCTCACTAACACAATACAGTCATAAAGCACAGTGGTGGTGGCTGTGTACAGCATGGAAGTAAAACAGGCCAGTTTGGGACAGCTGTTTTGATTGTGTCCCCTCTCAGTTTCTATGCACCCCCAGCTCCTCACTCACAGGGTAGCATCAGAAGTTGAAAAGTCCTTAGGTCTGTACAAATACTGCTCTGTAGCAACTAAAAACACTGGTGTTATCACCACTGTTTTCATTGTAAGTCCAAGTCACAGCACTGTACTGGTTATGATGAAGAAACTCAATTGTATCCAGCTGAAAGCATTACAAATGTGGGGCTCATTTCTCTGAAATCTGCTGTGCTGCTTAGGTTTTAATAATTTTTCTCTTCCATGACATTTCTAATATTTGAACATCCTGGCTATTACACTTAAGTAACTGCTAACTCTTGAATGATTCCACAGATTTAAGAAGAAAAGAAAAAGAAAAAGGAAAAGGAAAAGGAAAAGGAAAAGGAAAAGGAAAAGGAAAAGGAAAAGAAAAAGAAAAAGAAAAAGAAAAAGAAAAAGAAAAAGAAAAAGAAAAAGAAAAAGAAAAAGAAAAGGAAAAGGAAAAGGAAAAGGAAAAGGAAAAAGAAAAAGAAAAAGAAAAAGAAAAAGAAAAAGAAAAAGAAAAAGAAAAAGAAAAAGAAAAAGAAAAAGAAAAAGAAAAAGAAAAAAAAAAAGGCATTTAAGTGCAATACTTAATTAACCCCACTCTGAGTAAAGCGAGAAAGTGAGTTTGCAGCCTGTCCCTTGATTTCTTAGCATGACAGACACTGGATAATAACAAAGATGGCAACTGCACCTGTTAAGAGTCAGATTACAAAAAGTCATTTCATTATAACCTTCTGGACTAATGGTTTCTCCAAAACCCTCTTCAGGATTCAAAACTTCTGATGTTTGGGCTCTACCGGTAGATGGCACTGATGGAAAAAGAAACCACATTATTATTCTGTAGTTAAAAAGAATGTTCAGGAAAATCAGACCATTAAGAAAAGCCATGATAAAACACAGCACATACTCCTTATCCCTCTAAAATTCTACCGAATTTGTAAAACATACTATGTCCATAATGCAAATGCTCTGTAAACCCTGCAGGAGCCAAATGCAGAAAACTTTGTTTCCCTCCAAAGCTACTACATGGTTTCTGTTTCACTGTCCTTATTTAAGCATTTCCATAAAAGTGCTTGAGCATTATAGTTAAATGCTTTTGTTTGTTTGACATTTTTGAAAGGTTAAAAAGGCTTAAAAGTGTCAGAAAATGAAATGTTTTGAGGGCTTGGATGTCAAATGTTTTTTTTTTTTCATGTAAATACTAACATTATGTTTAAAGATTTTTTATATTTAAAGCATGAAAATTCTGTTTTGCTTCAGTCTGGTAACTTTCTGTTATTTCTCAGAGATGTCAGAGGCCTTCAGAGTCTCTACTACATTGGTTTTTAGCCCAGGGTGATGGACAAATGCCTTTCAGAATTTCAAAGACTATCAGAGTGCTCCATTCTTTTCCTGGTGGCTCTGGAACCCTGTGAGTACTTCTTACAATGGTGAAAGTACAACAGCGTTGAATTCTGTGCTTTGAGTGGTCTTTTGAGTATGCTACTGATTGATGCAGGTCCTCACAGTGCCTTCAAGGGACATTTAAGGTAATGAATGACCAAGCTCTCCTCACGGGTGTCAAAATGCACCTGAGTGCATCTCTGTGCTCTGTGCTGTTATATGCAAACCACTAACATAATAGTGTGTAAGTGACTCACTATGAGGCTCAGGGGTCTGATGAATGCTTCTCTGGAGGTTTCAAAACACAGAGTAGTCCCAAGACTTTCTCCACTATTATTCTGGAATTTTAAGTCAGTGAGTGCTGACAAGGTGAATCTGAACATTTTTCTGAGGGTGAAAGCACCAGTAACTCTGTGTTCTCCTGCTGAATGTGATCCTGCGTGGTGTGGATCCTCACAGTAACTTTAAGTAGTGCACATGGGAATTAACAAATGTTCCTCAGAAGTGTTTTAAAGGGTTTCTGAGAGCATTTCTGAGTTTCTGTGGCCTGTTTTTAAACTTGATGGGAGATCTCATGAAGGTGAACTGACCCTAGTGGGAAAACTGCTGATAGAAAATATTGCTAAAATTTCTGCTAAAACACTGACAAATGAAATGCTTCAAATCTAAGAAGTGCTAGCCTGGAAACCAGTAGCATCCTTCAGAAACACAGCTGGACTCTTGAGTTGCAGGAAAGTACTTAGTAACTGGTGACATCCTGAAGATATCAACGATAAGATCAAAATATTGGCAACTATAACAGAAACTCATCACCTGAAGAGAAAATTGTCTAGGAATACTGAAGTTTTGCCTAAGAGATTAAGGAAGCATATAAGCTTTATTTTCATCTGCCTGACTGCAAATTCCATGGCACATTGTGAACTTGTTCATTATTAATTTGGTTTCACACCTGGGCTCTCTTTTTGGATTCTGTCTCTTCTGAGATTGTTTTTTCTTAATTAGGCTCTTTGAGGTCTTTTTGACTGTATTACACACCTGTTAGAGACAATTGGTAGTGGTAATTTTATTAAATAAATATATATATGTGCATGTGTGTGTGTGCATAATCAGTCATAATTAGTCTTTATATGCACAAATTATCAACGTTCTGTGCTGTCTGTGCTCCATCCATAACGCCATCATTAATCTATGAGGCTACTTGTGTGCACTGCTTCAGGTTGGGGATAGAGTAAGTTCACAATAGCAATCACTGTTGATAGCATAGCAGTGTTTTAGTTGCTGCTAAATAGCATTTATACAGAATTGAGATATTTTCTCTTTCTCATACTGGCTATGAAAAGGCTGGCTATGTGCAAGAAGATGGGAGATGACACTGCTAGGACATCTTACCCAAAATGACCAAAGGGATGTTCCAAAGTGTATGGCATTATTTCTTGCAATGAAACTGTTGGGAAGAAGGAGTGGGATGTTTGGATTTAACAAGTGTTTAAGAGAAGTGTTTAACTTCTCAAGTGACTG